ACGTCGCCACTGGGGCTTTCGGTCGAGCTCCCTGTGGGGCCACGAAGCGTTGAACTGGGTGGGGCGGATGCATGCGAAAGCCGCCACAGGGGCCTTCGGTGGAGCTCCCGATGGGGCCACGAAGCGCTGTAGTGGGTGAGGCGGACTCATGCGAACGTCGCCACTGGGGCCTTCGGTGGGGTTCCCTATGGGGCCACGAAGCGGTGCACCTAGTGGGGCGGGCGCATGCGAACGTCTCCACATGGGGCCTCCGGTGGAGCTCCGTATGGGGCTACGAAGTGCTGGGCTGGATGGAGCGGGCGCATGCGAACGTCGCCGATGGGACCTTCGGTGGAGCCTCGTACGGGGCCGCGGAACGCTGTACTGAGTGGGCCGGGCGCATGCGAACGCCGCCGCGCGGACATTCGGTGGAGCTCCCTGTGTGGCCACGCAGCGCTGTACTGGGTGTGGCGGACGCATGCGAACGTCGCCACTGGCGCTTGCGGTGCAACGGCATTTTGGGCCACGAAGCGGTGTGCTGGGTGGGGCGGGCGCATGCGAACGTTGCTACTGGGGCCTTCAGTGGAGCTCCCTGTGAGGCAACGAGGCGCTGTACTGGGATGGGCGGGCGCATGCGAACGTCGCCACCGGGGCCTTCGGCCTTCTGTCGGGCTCATTGTGGGGCCGCGAAGCGCTTTCCTGGCTGGAGCGGACGCATGCGAACGCCGCAACAGGGGCCTTTTTTGGATTTCCCCTATGGGGCCATGAAGCGTTGAACTGGGTGGGGCGTGCGCGTGCGAACGTCGCCACTGAAGCCTCCGGTTGAGCTCCCTGTGGGGTAGCGAAGCGCTGTACTGGGTGGGGCGGACGCATGAAAATGTCGCCACTGGGGCCTTCGGTGGGGTTCCCTGTGGGGCCACGAAGCGGTGTACATGGAGGGGCGGGCGCATGCGAACGTCGCCACATGGGTCCCTTGGTGAATCGCCCTTATGGGACCGCGAAGCGCTGCATTGGGTTGGGCGGGCGCATGCGAACGCCGCTACGGGGGCCTTCAGTGGAGTTCCCTCTGATGCCACGAAGCGCTGTACTGGGTCGAGCGGACGCATGCGAACGTCGCCACGGGGGGCTTCGGTGGAGCTCCCTGTGGTGCCACGAAACGCTGTGCTGGGTGGGGCGGACGCATGCGAACGTCGCCACTGGAGCCTTCGGTGGGGCTCCTTTTGAGACCACGAGGCGCTGTGCTTGGCGGTGCGGGCGCATGCGAACGCCGTTGCAAGGGGTTTCGGTGGAGCTCCCCGATGGGGCCACGGGGCGCTGTACTGAGTGGGGCGGGCGCATGCGAACGTCGCCCCGGGGACTTTTCTTTGGTGGAGCTCCCTGTGGGGCCACGAAGCGCTGCATTGGGTGGGGCGGGCCACGCGTGCCTCGGGTGGAGCTCCCTTTGGGGCAGGCGCGTGCGAACGTCGCCACTGGGGCCTTTGGTGGAGCGCACTATGTTGCCACGAAGCGCTGTACTGGGCAGGGCGGGCGCATGCGAACGCCGCCACACGGGCCTTCGGCCGAACACCCTATGGGGCCGCGAAGCGCTGGACTGGGCGGAGCGGACGCATGCGAATGTCGCCCCGGGGACCGTGGAGCTCCCTATGGGGCCACGAGGCGCTGTACTAGGTTGGGCGGACGCATGCGAACGTCACCACTGGAGCCTTCGGTGGAGCTCCCCGATGGGGCCACGGAGCGCTGTACTGAGTGGGGCGCACGCATGCGAACGTCGCCACTGGAGCCTTCGGTGGAGCTCCCCGATGGGGCCACGGAGCGCTGTACTGGGCGGGGCGGACGCATGCGAACGTCGCCGCGGAGGCCTTCGGTGGAGCTCCCGATGGGGCCAGGAAACGCTGTACTGGGTTGGGCGGATGCATGCGAACTTCGCCACTGGCGCCTTTGGTGGAGCTCCATATGGGGCCACGAAGCACGTGATGGATGGGCCAACCTGGTTGACATGCGGAGAACAGAGGCGCGCTGGGAAGGAGGAAGGAGGGGGAAAGGGGCGCTGTCTCTTCAAAACGAAGACCCAACACCACAAGATGGTTTGGGAAGAACCGGGAAACTCGAAAACACATACACAATAATCAACACAACTGAATTTTGTAACCGTGAAAACTGGACTACCGGAGAGCTTGACAAGTGGAATGCAAGAGTGCCGGAAACCGCAGCGCTGGAAAACAAGAGAGCGGGAAAGCTGCAACTGCACAGTGGGAAATTGGAAAAAGCCGAAAGCTGGTAAGACAAAAGCTGGACCCCCTCTCGCCTTCTTCTTCGCCCTCCTCCTCCTGCTCCTCCTGCTCCTCCCCCTTCTCCTCCTCCTCCTCCTCCTCCTCCTCCTCCTCCTCCTACTCCTCCTTGTCTGGCAGGGCCTCCTGCGTCGTGCGCATCTTCGCCACGATCGACAGCACCAGCGCCCTCCAGTACGGCGCCCCTCGGGTGCACCTCACCTTGGTGTCCCCGGGGAGGGGCAGCAACAGTCAGCAGATCACCGGGAAGGCACATCTGAATGCGCACTTGGCGCGTTCTATCCCCTGCCATCATCCTTCCCCTCCTCCCTCCTCGTCCTACTCGGTGTCCGCACCCTGTCCTCATGTACTCCTCATCCACCGTCCTCCTCCCTCATCCTCCTCGTCGTCCTCCTCGTCGTTTCATCCTCCTCGTCCTCCTACTCGTTCCCGTCCACATCGTCGTCTTCTTCGTCGTCGTCCTCCTCCTCCTCCTCCCTCCTCCTCCTCTTCCTCCTCCTCCTCCTGCTCCTCCTCCTCCCTCCTCCTCCTCCTCCTCCTCCTCCTCCTCCTCCTCCTCCCCCTCTTCCTCCTCTTCCTCCTCCTCCTCCTCCTCCTCCACCTCTCCCGCCCTTCCCTCCCTACCTCACCATTTATCCCTTCTGCTTTTCCCTCGCCTCCTTCTCCTCGTGGGCTCTTCCTATCATGCGAACGACCGACATATAGCCGTGCCAGCGTCTAGCCTTTTCGCGGCGTCTCGAGACACGACCTTCTTCGCTGCTCTATCGTGCGAGAACGCCAAGAGGGCCCCAGAATGGGGGCACATGGGCGGATGAGAAGTACGAGAAGAACACTGCTCACGTACGTAGGCCGTTGTCTTGCAAAGGGGTATTCTTGGCCTGGGACCTTGGCAGGATACGTGCGACTTTCTCTACATCGTCCTGTCACTGGTGAGGCGCAACTGCGCCCTCAGAGCCACGGCGCACTTCGGAATGCGAGTTGGCCCGGCACAGTGCTCAAAATGCCAGAGGCATCCTGAGACCCGCTGCGGAGTATCTTTTGAGAGCGCGCTCGGCCTTCCCATCGACCAGCTCAACAGCCCACTCGATCCCCCGATCAACCGAGCCGACCCCCTGATCGATCCCTCAGTTCGCCAGCCTCCTTGATATAGGGAGCCCACAGAGGACGTACGCGCCCAGCTATGTACATGAACACGGTCCCTTGAAACGCGAGACCGGCCGCGTGATACGAACATTCGCGCAATGCGAACTCTCGAAACCGGCGTGGATTCATGCACGTGTACGTCCTTCTTTCGCCCCTGATGATGCACTGGTGCAGGAGATGTTTTCCTTTCCCCAAGCGCCTCCTCTGAGGGGGCATCGATGCCCGCAAGTGTGCCCGGGGAGTCCCTGGGGCCCCCCGCCGCCCGCCACAGCGTGCGCACGACGAGCAGAGAGGCCGCCAAGATGCCCAGATCTCGCAGGCGGGGGGCCCCGGAGCCCTGCAGGACGACCCCTAAGAGACTCCCGAGGCGACCCCAAGAGGAGGAGGAGGAGGAGGAGGAGGGGGAGGGGGAGGAGGACAAGCTAGGTGCGCTCGCGTCATATCTGACGTCCTACCCCTCCCTCCCATCCCTTACCATGGCGCTGATTTTCTCTATCCGCGGACGCGTGTCGTAGCGGACCTGTGGCTCCGCGCGCGCGTGCGTAGTGGGTGGTGGTGCACGTGCGTGCGTGCGTGCGTGTGTGCGTGGTTGTCGTGGTGGTGGTGGTGGTGGTGGTGGTGGTGGTGGTGGTGGTGGTGGTGGTGGTGGTGGTGTGGTGGTGGTGGTGGTGGTGGTGGTGGTGGTGGTGGTGGTGGTGGTGGTGGTGTGGTGGTGGTGGTGGTGGTGGTGGTGTGGTGGTGCGGCGCGGTGGTGGCGGGCGGATGGGCGCGCGAGAAAAAGGCCCGCGCTGGGGCGAGAACGCCATCCTGAACGACGGAGGCCAAACACCGATCCGAAAATGAGGCCCACGCTGCAGCGGGAGCACGATTCGGAACGATTCGGGAGCAGAAATGAGGCCGGCGCCTCAACGAGAGCAGCATTTTGGAAAAAAATGACGCCGGCGCCTCTGCGAGAGTCGTTTCCCGGGATTTTCCGGGCATCCTGTGTGTAAAAAAACAGTACGCGGAGGGTGCGCGGCCATCACCCGGACGCCATCAGGGGAAGAGGGAGCGTATTTTCATATTGAGTAATTGTGGAGGAGGAGGAGGAGGAGGCGGAGGAGGAGGAGGAGGAGGAGGAGGAGGAGGAGGAGGAGGAGGAGGAGGAGGAGGAGGAGGGGGTGCCGAGAAGCGAACGGGAGGCTCCACGACAGGCCCGGGGATGCCCCGAGAGAGTTGCAGCAAGCGCGTGTAATAAGGACGCACGGTAGGGATGCAAGGGCCCTGGAAGGCCATGCCGGTATCCTGCGAGCGGGGCGCGGCCAGCGAAGGTGGCCAAGGATGAGCCGAAGGTGAAGGATGCAAGGGTAAACTTCTTGGAAAGTCGCTCATCATTATCATGCGCTCTGGCTGCAGGCCGCAGACAGCAGAACTCTTGCAAAACATGACGATATTGTTCTGTGCGTCCTGCTCCTGAGGCTTATCGGCCCAGGATGGCCTCAAAGAAGCTCGAGACGGCCCCAAGTTGGACCAACACCGCCCCAGGACTTCAAGACGCCCGAAGAGGGCCCCCCCCAAACGGCTCCCAGATGTCGCCACTACGTCCCATGAACGTTGCCCAAGGGCCCAGGAAGATCCAGTGGCGGCCTACGATGCCTGCTAGACGCCCCCCCCCAAGACCCAAGACGGCTACACGAAGCCGCCCAAGCGTCCAAAGGCTTCTCCCAGGGTGCCCCAAGATGTGAGGCTTCCCGCCAATCATCGCCGTCGTCGTCGTCGTCGTCGTCGTCGTCGTCGTCGTCGTCGTCGTCATCGTCGTCCACCTCCTCCTCTTCTCCTGTTCTTTGTCTGGTTCCTGTTCCGCGTCCGAGTCCCGCGTCCTTGTCCTCGTCCTTGTCCTCGTCTGTTGTCTTCGTCGTCCTCGTCCTCAGTGACCTCGTTCTCGCCTTGGCCGTCCTCGCCCCCGAGCTCGACCCCATCACCGTCTCTTCTCATCCCGGTCCTCGTTCTCATCCTCGTTCTCCTCGTCCGCACCTTCTACTTTCGCCCTTGTCCTTGTCGTCCGCCTCCGTCCCCTCCCCTTCCGCCTTCCCCGTCTACTCGATCGTTCTTCTGTCCGTCCGAGCTCAGCGAGGACGGACCTCAAGCCTCTCGGATGCTGGGAATCCATGCGCCTCTCCTCCCCGCCGGGGAGAATCCAGGACAAGGAGGGGGAAGAGGGCGAGGGGGGTGTAAGGGAAACGAGGCAGGACGGAGGGAGGCAGCTCGGAGGATGAAGCGGTGACGAGGAAGGACCGAGGGATGACCAGGAGGGGCAATGCTGGATGAGGAAGCGAGGAGGAGGAGGAGGAGGAGGGAGGAGGAGGAGGAGGAGGAGGAGGAGGAGGAGGAGGAGAATGAGGAAGGATGGAGGAGGAGGAGGAGGAGGAGGAGGAGGAGGAGGAGGAGGAGGAGGAGGAGAAGGCATGGAGCACGCGGAGAAAGGGGGTCGAGGAAATCGCCGGCGTACGGCCGCTCGCGAGCTCCACGGCCAGCGGCACTGGGAGGGCCTCGCCGGCGGCGGCGCCGCGCAGGCTCCGGCGCACCTGGACTTCCTCGCGGGCCGGCCGCGCGGCCCTGGAGGAGGGAGGGGAGCACGAGGAGGAGGAGGAGGAGGAGGAGGAGGACCTCTTTGGACCTCTTTGCTCTCGGACCTCTGTCCCTCAGTCTTCGTCCTGGCTTACGGACATCTGCCGTCAATCGGAAGACTCTGAATCCTCCCGCGGCGCCCGCACTTGCTCAGCCGCGCCTCTCGCAGCAGCCAACAATCTCTGAACCTTAGCCTGCAAGCGCGACTCGTTGGCAGCACAACGCAGCTGCTCCCGCTCGTGCCCGTCGTTGCGGGCGCGGGTCACCGCGGGAGGCTCGGCGGGGCCCCCCCCAAGCTCGCTGTTCTCCTGCGACCCCCAGGCCTCGTGGGCCGACACGACACGACTCTCATCTCTGCGAGCTATGGCCATCTTGATGGCTCTGGGGGGCCCCTCACGCCGAGGGAAAAGACCTAATTCAATTCGACGGATATTCTCTGCACCGTTCGGTGTGAGACCTCTACACTTCTGACGCAAGGACCTCGAGTCCACTGTCGCATACATACCGCAAGCCGAACAAATCTGCAAGAACCAGCGGTCAACCCTGGTGATAGTGTGGGAATCGTGGATCTCAAGGTCCACTCCTTTAAACGGCTGGAACTCTGGGACCTCCGACCTGCTTTTACCAGGGGGCCCAGCACACGGGGAGACCGAAAAACGCAAAAACCTGGCTCCAGTCACAATCACATCGCACTGAGAGCACCTCCATTTGCTTCCTACTCGCTCTAGCTGGTGGGGAGAATCTCGAATCAATCTCTCCTGCTTTAAAAGTCTCTTACTGGCTGGGGCTCTACCTGCACGCTCTGACGTCTCCGACGCAGCGGCAAGTAGCAAAGATCTGCGCGCTCTCTTGCGCACGAGATGTGCGATCGCATCTATCTTATCAGTCTCTGGAACGCTCCCCACCAGCCCGAACTCCCAAGCCAGCTCCGCCCCGACTCCCGCCCAGACATCCGCAGCTAAATTCCCAGCTGCCATGAAAAGCTGCTGCGGCGATTCAAGCAGCTCTGGCGTCTCGTCCAGATGGGACGCCGTCCACACTACCTTCACAACTCTGTCTGGGTAAGTCTGCCAGGCCACTCTGGCTCGGGCCCAAAGGTCCTCATTGGGACCCGTGGCTTTCGGGTGCTCCAGGCGGTATTTCCAGGTCTTCGCGATCGTCCTATGGTCGGTAATGAAACTAAAATCTGCGTGGCACTCCTCGAGTGCCAAAGCGAACGCTAAAATCTCCGAGCGGGGGACCGTTTGCCTGCGACCGAGGAGTGGGATTGCTACAGCTCTGCCCACAATCCACTCCCCATCTCGCTCCTGCAATGCTACAATGCTGATCCACAGCGGCGTCTGCGAGGGTCCGAGGAGTGCTTGCCTCCTGAGCCGTCGCCGAAAATGTGGATCTCACCTTCGTGCTGACACTCCCCCCAGTCCCCCAGCTCACCAAACCGAACCTCCCTCCCCTCTAACAGTTCATCATTAAACCTAGGGTGCGTGAGAGAGGCTGGCGGCAATCCTCGAAGCCACAGCGCAGGCTCAGCTTCTGCCTGCGCCATCGCAGCCGGCAGCAGGTCCGCCGACTTGGTGAAGTCCTCGTGGTCCACGTTCTTGGGGCATAGCCAGATCCGATGCATCAGGGTCTCGTCCTCCTCCTTGCACCTGTCGCACTTCTTACAGTCCAGGAGGTATCCTTGGTCGACAGATCGCTGCTTCGGCCACTGTCCTCCCGCGACCACGGTGATGTTGGCCCCGACCATGTCCAGCTGCCCCTGCTTCTCGAACCTTCGCTGCTCCGCGCGGATCTGCCAGACGTCCGCTCCATCCTCCAAACCTTCACCATGTGGGTGTGCTGCAGCAGCCTTCCAGTATTGAGCTACGATGTCGTCCTCGAAGTCGTCTACCAGCTGCTGGAAGCACCCCGTGTTGTCGAAAGTGCCGTCCGTGACGGACGGGATGTCCCACTGTTCTGCTGGATCCTCATCTGCTCCGACTGGTCGCATCCACACCGTAGCCGTTGGTGCGTACCAGCCCACGTCCATGATGGTCGCCTGCACCGCTCCGACTGGTCCGCGAACTCCTCTCCATCGTTTTGGCCCAAGCTTTGACAGACGGTCGAATATCCGCGGCCATGCCTTGACGATCCTGGCGTGGTTCTCGGGGTGGCGCTGCCACAGGTTGATCCACTCCTTGACCACGGCAACTCGCATTGCCACCCCTGGGTCGCCCTTCCACAGCTCGACCGCCAGTGTCGTCGTCAAGCATCGCCCACGCGCCTTACCTCCTGCCACCTGTCCAGCTTGTCGTCGTAGCCGTTGAAGCTCATGAACTGCGAACCCGAAGGCTTGGTGGCCGTACACTGCCTGTGGTACTGCTCCCGCCTTCCATAAACCTTTGCTCTCTTTGGCCAGGGCCGCAGTACGTCGCAGCCTCACAATCTTGGCGAATCTGTGCTTCGCCCGATTTGCTCGCTGCTTCGCTTTCGTCGTAACCCTTTTCCTCCCAGCCGACGTGTCCAGGCCTAGGTCCACTGCCTCCGTGACTGCGTAGACGGGGATCTGCCTCTTCCTCATGGACTTGGCCGTCCGCTTCACGTCCTTCGGGTGGGTGCCTATCAGGACAGACTTGCTGGAGATCTTCATCCTCTGATCCTTGAGGCCGTCCGTGATGATCTCCGTGACCTGGATGATGCCATCGCCGACTGTTTGCCTGCTACCTTCTTGCCTCGCAACCGTGTCATCCACGAATGTCCACAGCGCAGCTTGTGGCGCCCTCCGATGCGCCCTCTCTAATATCGGGTGCAAGAACAGCTTCGCCAACCCCACGCCTCTGGCAGAGCCTGCTACCAAAGACCTCGTGGACCAGATCGCCTCGCTGAGGATGTTACGCTCCTGCAGGTACCTCGGCCCCACGAAAGCGGTGATCTCTAACGCCACCACCACTGCGGGAAAGTCCACTCTGAGGGCGATCTGGGACAGGATGACGAGCGAGACCGTGTCGTAGAACTTCTCGATGTCCAACAGTAGCGTCATCGCCGATGCCCCGAGCTCTGCCCCCACTTCGTCCAGGCACGCCCTGAGGAGCCCCGCACGGAGGGCTGAGCTGCCTTTGAGGGCTGTGTCCCAATGGGCCGATACCGAATCATTCCATTCTGAGCAGCAACCTCCCCGAGCCCTTGACCAGAGCTTGATGGGAAGGGCCAGCATTCCGAGTACTCGATCTCCTCCTTTGGGCTTGGCCGCCAGCGCGCACTTGGTGGCTGCCCATTGCCTCGGCCATGTGACCTCCTGCTCGCAATACTGTAAGATGTGAAGTAACCATATTCTTGCATGTCTGGGGGCCCGAGCCAGATCGTGCGGACCAAGGTGATCAACTCCTTTTGCTTTGGCCGACGACGACGCGGCGATGGCCCCGTCGAGCTGCTCCAGCGTGAGGGGCTCCAGCACGTGCTCCCAGGACTGATCGCGGAGCCTGCCCAGCTGGTACGCGATGTCCTCCTTCGTATCGACTGGGTCCGTCCATATGCGCTCCCACTCGTGCTTCCTGATGCCAATGAGGGCGTCTGGGTCCGCGATGCCCTCCATCTCCTCCGTGCACAGCTCGAACCTCGGCACCTGCTGCTCCTTCACATGCCGATGGAGGAGGCCAACTTTGCCTGCCCATGCCTTCTTGGCCCACGCCGTGAAGTTCTTCTGCTGCGCCGTAAAGCCACGCGACTGCGCGGTGGCGAGGTGGCCCTCTGCGTGCATGACTAAGTTGCCGAGCTGCCCCTCTTCCAAGTCCGCCAAGTCGCCCAGCAGGAGGAGGAGGAGGAGGAGGAGGAGGAGGAGGAGGAGGAGGAGGAGGGAGGAGGAGGAGGAGGAGGAGGAGGATGATGATGATGAGGAGGAGGAGGAGGGAGGGCAGGGGCCCGACCACGAGAAACCTCCCGCAAGGAACCCGACCCTGAGCCCCCAAGGCTTCCACTGACTTCCGGTGTGGGAGCGTCCCGCTTCC